ATATTCATACATGGTACTAGTTAATGTACAGATTCATTTTCAAACTCAGCAGAATATAGAGCAATTGGCTCTTTCTTAAGCTTTATGAAATTAAACGGTTTGCAATGTGGTCCGGCACTTAATTTATTTAGTTATATTTCAGGAAAATTAGAATTATGAGAAATAAAATTTCTCTTCATTCTCAGAACCATAAACTCAAAAGTTCAGTAAGGGGGAAAAAGTTTAATTAGAGAACTAAATCTCTTGGATATTTAATTAGATATATTGTACAAAATCTCAAAGTATAGTCACCTGATTTCAAATTTGTCATCACGCATACCTTTTGCTGACAATTCATTTGTCTCTTATGCACTGGCTTTTTCCCATACCGCTTCATAATCATTTTGCTGTGACATTTGCACATATTGAAATTAATTGATTTTTTTTTTCACGCTAAGCAGTATCAAGGGTTTTCTTTTATAAAATCTCAAAAAGTATATCTGTATGACTAAATATCACCGAATACAACTTCAGAAGAAAATAGTTCTTACGTTCACCCAGAAATTTAATGAACCCATGCCCTTGTGATATACACAAAGTATCCATTGCAGCTCTCTATTGATGTCTTCAAAAAACATGGCTAACTTTTTTATTCCACGTACTTACTGTATTAATAATTCTTGAGCAAAAGTTCCATCTTGTTGGTATAGCTTTATGCATCTTTTTCTCCACGAGGTCTTTTTGTAGATGTTGTAAAAAATGCAGACTTGCCAGACTAGATTTAGAAAATATGCAGCATTTTCAGCAAAACCAAATTTAAAACATACTTGTAGCAAATTGTGAAAAATAACTCTCTCACATTTTGTTATAGAAAAAAGAACTGTAAACGTTATGGCAAGTAGTTATCAGTATGGAAAACTCATTCAGTTTTTGTAATCTAAAATTTTTCAGAGACATGCTCTTGAAACTTATTTTGAATGTTTGATAAATAGGTATTTATAATTTTTATTTGTTATTTTGGTACTAAGGAATTAGTAGGAAAAGTTTGATACGTTTTCAAGAGCATAATTTATCTAGGTTTCTGTTGATGATGTTTGATAGTTTTTTTTTTTTTTTTTTTTTTTTTTTTTTTTTTTTGGCTTCCTATAGGGATGCAACCTTTAGCAATTGCTAACATTTTTTAAAACATTTATTTTGGACTTAAGAAGTATGCCCATTAATTTTTAGCCTTTCAACTTGTATCAACATCTCATGTAAAGGTAGTGTGATACATCTATAAAAACTTGCAATAAAGTAATTTGCTGATTGAAAAATATAAATTAAATTTACTTTAAATTATATCAGTTTATCATAAAACATTGAAAAATATATTCACTGCTATTATTTTACATCCAAAATATATTTTCCATATTAAATTTATTGTTAAAAGTATATTTTGTTGTACAGGAATTTAAAAAATGGAATGAGGTGCACTTATTTCCCTCCTTCATCTATATGCAATAGGAAAAAAGGGGGGAGCAATTCTATATTTTCTGCTGTAGTTGTTAGTTGACAAAATTCATCATGTTTATCATTAAAATTTCATGTCTCAAAAACATGACTTAAGATGTACCCCATGCTCATAAAAATTCTTATGCAGGCTTTATTTTTGCAATTGTTGGTTGTGGATGTACTTTCACAAAAGTATTCTGAATGATGCGTGGTAGTTGCTTTAACCCTGCAGTGCTCGTGTGGCATATTGTTAAGTTAAAGGTTGCATGGCGTCTGATAGACGCCATATATGTTTTTGCTGTACTAATATGTATTTAGGCCATTAAGTTCACATTTTTGAATGCAAAGGAATTATTGGAGTAAATCATAAATATTTGTGGTATCATATTACAGACACAAGTAACAAAACTTCAGTTTACAGTGATACTTAATTTTATTCAACTTGCGTAAATACAAATGAAAAGTACAAGTGAAATTGTCTCATTTAGTTAGTTGCACAAACTAGGAATCCGCGCATATTTGCTGAGCGTGTTCTAAACATAGAAATTTTTTACAACTGCGACATTTGTACTTAATGTACCTGTTCTTGGAACAGCCACATTCATGACATCTGTGCCTTTTAGTAGCTCGAGCCTCTTCTGTAAGTCGAACTGTACCCTCAGCTGGGAAAAGGCTCTGAATATCCTGCTTGAAGTTTCTAGGTAATGCTAAACACTGAGAATGTCTACACAAGGAATCATCAGCTAGATTACGACTCAAAAGTTTTAAAAACTCACTGCATCTGGTGCTGATTGATAAATCATTTGCATGATATATTATTTGACCATTTATAGCTGCTATATTCATCATACTATGAAATATGACCATATGCCATCTGTTTGTCCTGGCAACTTTATAAGTGCTACACAACTGGTCAACAGTATCAACTCCTGATTTAGTTCCATTATAAAAAGTTATCGTCTGTAGCTTGTTTTTCTCACATGATTCATCAATTGCATCATCATGATGCATAGTGGAGAGAATCAGAACCACCTTGTTTTTCTTAGTTACATAAGACATTAGAGTTGAGTCATTCTGAAACCCAAACAATGATGTTCCTACTTCCCGATTCTTTGTGTAAACTCTGGAGGAATTTCACTCTTATTTTTCCTCATGGTTCCAACCAAAGTAAGATTATTCTGAAACAAAAAATTAGCGAAGTCTAACGAGGTAAACTAATTGTCTACAGCTATATTGCGACCTTTTCCTGAGATTACAGAACTCAGCCATTTCACAACATCTGCTGGTTTCTTGCTAATTTTGAATGGACCTGCAGGCTGCTTGCCAGCATATGTTTCTAGGTTTACGGTGTAGTACATCCTAGCATCTACTAATGCAAATAATTTTATCCCATACTTATTTGGTTTACTAGGGATGTATTGCCTGAAGAAACATTTACCCCTAAAAGCTTCTAACTTTTCATCAACTGTACAATACTCTCCAACTGAATAAGCATTCTCACAATTTTCCACTCATGAAGAAAACACATCACGTATAGGTCCTAAATTGTCAGTTTTCTTTCTTATCTCTCATGTGTCCTTATTGTCAAACTTCAAACAATATAAAAGGAACCTAAATCATTTTTCAAACATTATTAGACAGCATAGCTCAATACCCATTTTATCAGAGGACCATATCTCCTTGGTATTTGCATGATTGTCTTTTCTAGAAGCAAAAGTGTATAATATGCATAGAAGCCCTTTTATTTAAATTATGTTGATCAAAAGGGCATCCCTTTCCCGAGAATAATTTTCCTGTATTATGGATATCTTTTTATTTGTGAATTTAACTATATTAGATAGCATACCATTGTCGAAAAAACATGCCCATCATTGCTCAGGCGTTCCAGCATTCTTCGTGACACTTTTCACTCCTGGTAAATGAGTGACAATATTATGTTGTGGGTTGCATATATTTTTAAGTGGGCAAACTTTTGACCATTTTGATGATTTATTCCGGCATAGGAAAAAATTATTCGCAATATAATCATCACTATCGCTATCATTGGAATTTTATTTCTTGTTTGGTGTCTGTGTTTTCTTCTCATTTTCCCATTCGATCTTGTTCTGTATCACTATAATCATCAAACTCATCACCTGATTCATCTTCTTCCATCAGCATACTAGTACTATTTCTCTGTCACATTCATTCGCCATATTGAATTTTTTCTGAGAAGTCATTAAAGGTAAGAAAATAAGTAATAAAAGCAAAAAACAATTGTTGCTCAAAAAAATTGTAAATACCAGAAGAAATACATTCTTTTTACATTTAGAATTAAATATATTCACAATTTCTTTTACCTATCACTAAAGTGGGAGGGGGGACTACTAAGGACAGCTGTTGATAATAAAAATTAAAAATACCAGAATATATAAATTTAAAAATACTTACATTTAAAATAAACGGTCACGTGGTGTCTCCTAGACTCCAGCAGTACACATCGGCTTAGAACATGGTCCTCTCAGCACTAAAATAAAATTGGCATTGTTTCGATGATTTCTACTAATTTGTGTATAGTTGACAGAAAGGTAGATAGCAGTACAAGGCGTCTGCAGGACGCCACACTAATAGTGCAGGGTTAAGAATAGATTAAAAAACAATTATTACCTTTAGCAATTTTGTGGCAAAATACTCTGTTCCTTAAAAAATTTACTGGAGTTTCTCCCTATTAAAGGCAAATTCCACAAGCACGTATTTAAAAATTTTAACACACTCACACACACACACACACACACACACAAAAAAAAAAAAAAAAAAAAAATCACAGTTTGTCTATAAAAATGGCTTGAAATACAACAAAAAGAATATATATGAGAATTACAATTGTTAAAAACTGCGGTATTATTATACTCATGGCTGTTGGATTTTGAAATCTGGTGACTTTAACAAGTGTGATTGCACTAATATGTAGGTATAAATAATTATGCTATTTATTTCTTAAGCCATAAATTGGCTGCTGACCAAATATGGCCTTCTCAGTTTTTGTTTACTGAGGTCATCATATTAGGTACCGGTCATATCTATTGTTCTCTTTCTACTTAGCTAATTGAGAAATAGCAGAATTCACCAATATAGTTTACTGAAGAATTTTTAATTTTTTTTTAGTCATGATTTATATTGCTTTCTGCATTTCTCACTATCAGTAATTCATTGCATGTTGATTTTGATTATTTTATGAGAAAAATATGGAAAATAATAAGTAAAGTTTTGATTTTATGATTGTTCTATTTTTATTGAATGAACATTGAAAATAATGCATGATACGTTTATTTTCCATTTTTTATGATTATTTTAGTAAGAAATATAGAACTTAATAAGTTAAATTTTTATATTTTTTATGTTATGAACATTAGAAGTAATGCATGATGTATTTTATTTTTTATTTCTGATAATTTTATGGCCTCTTCATTTTATATGTTTATGATTTCAAGATTTTTAACATGAATTTGATTTGAATATTTTTTATGTTTAGTTGCATTTTATTTGTATAGGTGATGTGCCAAATTCTTATGTTGGATGTTTCAGAGATCATTCAAAAAAACGCTTATTGTCTAGTTATTCAAGGAAAATGCCAAATAATTCTCCATCTCGATGTGTTGATCTGTGTTTACAGTCAGGCTACTTATATGCAGGTGTACAGTATGGCAATGAATGCTTTTGTGGTAAGGAGAAACCACATGAACAATTTAAACTGAAAGATAATTTTTGCAATATGGAATGCCCTCAGAATTCCGTAGAAACTTGTGGTGGATATTTTGCGATGAATGTATATCACACTGGTTTGCCAAGTGAGAGTTTATTTTATGATTTTAATTATCTTTTCAACATTTCCTATACATATATACAATTGTATGATTTTTCAATCACACAATTTAAATAATTGAAAATTTAAATTATTTAATACTATTGTCATTGTTACTGTAGTATTTGATAAGTAAAAAGGGTCCTTTTTGAGGCAGAACTGAATACATATCATTGATTATCTGACTTCTTGCAAAATGTCATATGTAGTTAGGAAGTGGGGAATGATTACATTACACATCTGTAGAATATTGATTGTTGCTAAAACCAATAAAAACTTATTCTCTGTTTTACATTTTCTTATAAATTGCTGCTTTCTCATTTCTATAGCAGTGACGATATGTGTTGCATTATCTTGACTGAATAATAAAAAATAAAAATTTTTTTGTTTACTTTACATAAATATCATAGTAATAATGTGCAAGATATGCAATATAATTAATTATACCAGGAAATGTATAGTTTGCATATAAACTTTGATTTTGATTTTTAAGTCAGACCTGCATTTAATAAAGCCACAGAAGCTTGCAAAAAATGTCACTAAATGGAGAAATTTGCAAAATAGAGGTTACGATAAAACATGATTTAAAATGAGAAATTTTTAAAATTTTAATTGTAAAATAGTGGTAAAATGAAATATAAAGGCAAAATTTCGTATGTTAATGTATCCATTCGATTAAAGTTATGTATGAAAATTACATAAATTCATTTTGAAAAATAATGTTACTTTAGTTTGTTTTCATTGTCGGAACTAACATTTCATGACATAATAAGTCTCGCATCTACTTTCTGGTACATTTTCTTCAAACTGAAATTTGCATTGTAAAGTATCAAATGCAATTAATATATCTTCTGGTGAAGATATTGTGCATTCATTTTCATTATGTTTTCATCTTCATTATAATCAATCTGATTGCTATTGTTATGCTCTCCAGCAAATCTTTTTCAGTGGGAAGACCTGGCATCTCAACTTCATTATCTATAAATAAATAATCTTGTAATTATCTATTATTTTCCCACTACAACCACATATGCAGCTCCACATCTTGCCCATTTTAGTTTTTGATACTACTGTTACTATTAGTATTAATCTTGGCTATAAAACCAACTTTTTTTCAGCGTCATCATAAATCCATACTTTTAAGTACCTATATGTATTAATGTAACCTTATTACACATAAAGGCTGATTACTTTCAGTTCTCATTAAGATTTTCTTTAAAATTCTTTCACGATAATGCATCTTAACACTTTTTATCATCCCTTTATCCATAGGCTCCATTTTTACAGTGGTATTTAGGGAAAAGAAAAAAAATAACATTTTAACACCTGTTTTTGATAACCATTTTTTATACTTTTCTTTGATATCTTGAGGGTGAGCACTGCAATCGTCTATCACTAGTGTAATATAATTTTCTCAGTGCAACTGGTGTCACTCTTTATATTTATTTAGATTAATTTTGTTTTTAAAAAGTAAGTTAATAATAAAAAAAATTGTAAGAAGAAAGATTAGCAATCTATGCATTTACAACATTGTGATGACGGACAGATGTCATGTTTAAAGGGTAATGTTCAGTGAATTTGTTAATATAGACGTTATTGATTTAAGATTTTATTAATAAGGAAAATATTATTAATAGAAGAACACCTGTTAGAGCAAGATTTATGAAGTATTACAATTTGTAAATAGCATCTTTAAATGAAACAGGTTTAAAGCATGAGGAAATGGAAATTAAATTTCCTTTAGTGAATTGCTACAGATTTAGGTTAATTGATAGTATAATAATTTGTACTATTTTAATAGATGCCAAATCTGAAGATTTTGATGTTAAATACAAGAAAACTGAAGAATAACCATCAAAATTAGATGTAGCTCTCATTCATACTAAAGCATGTCTTGATAAACTCTCACATTTTTGTGAACCGGTGATGACGAATACAAGTGAAAAAACAAAATTAAAGCTCCCCAAAATAGAATTGGTTGAATTTAGCGGGGAAGTTGGAGACTGGCTCAGTATTCATGATGAGTCAGTTGGTTATGAACATAAATTTCAGTATCTCATCCATTACATCACAGTTGGCAATATAAATCTCTACAATGAAAGAAGGAAAGAGGACTATCTGAAATCTCCGAAAAAGAAAATCTTGGACAAGCCTACGAGCAGCGTAGCAATGATTATAAACAGCGTAGAAAATATTCATCTACTGAGCAGCCTGGAACAAATGGAATTAGTATGCAAAATAGGAATCGATGAGGTTACTAAATTGCTGGCTAAGCATAAAAACCCAGAAATCGAAAATTACATTGCAGAATCCAAGGGACGGTGGACAAAAGAAGATTCAGCCAAGTTGGAGTCCGAAAAGGCACAACTCGAGGGAAAAGAAACAGGAGAAGAAAATCAAAAAGAAGGTGCATGGACTTTCCCGAAAAAGACAGCAAAACAGCCAAAGAATGCAGAGCTGATGGAAATTTAAAAGAAAAATCGATTTGAAAGTCTAGATGTGGAAAATGGTGCAGATAATAGGTTCAACATTCTAGATCAGCAGAGCGAGGAGGAGCCGTGCAGTTGGAAACGCCCCCCACCCACTGTATTCCAAAGTGCAGCTATTGATTGGCTGAAAAGTGAGTAAATTTTGCATACAACCTGTTCGGAAGAATTGGAAGCCGATACGAAAAGCAAATCTATATTTGTGAAAGTTAAAAATCTTATCAACTACCGAAACACTACGTCTGTTTAACAGAAGAGAGGTATTCCCTTCTATACCTTCTAAATAAACTTTGAAAAACCCATCTGGGTGGGGCTGAAAAATCTCCCAAGCCATGTTTTTGGAAGAGGCAATCTTTAAAGATCTTCAAAGACGCAAATTCCCTATTGAGAAAGTAAAGCAATTCCAGAGAAGTAAAAAGAACAATTGCGAAAAACTCGGAATCTACCTGTTGGAATTGAAGAAAAACAAAGCTGGTCACGCAATCCATAATTTGAACAATATGTTCAGCTTGAATGTTCGTATTGAAAACTTTGCACCAAAGAAATGCCCCACTCAGTGCTATCATTGCCAGGAGTGGGGCCACTCACAGCATTTATGCAATAATTTAATGCTGCTGTAAATACGGTGAAAACCATAGAAGCAAGAAGTGCGAACTAAAACCTGAAGAAACCTCCACCTGTATTTTCTGTCAAGAAAAAGCGCGTATCCAGTTATCGTGGATGTAAGGAATACCACAGAAAATTTGAAAGAAAAAATACCCATCCCAAGAAGTTAATCCCTCCACCTACAAGTGCTGATTTTCCTATATTCACAAAGGAGGTAGAAGGAGAAAAGAAAAACAAGGCTGAAACATCCCTCTACAGTGATAAATTGAAGAAAAAAACTCAAGCCTTCTCCAGATGTGCAAAGTGAAGCTCTGGATTGATTAGGAGACAGCCAAGTCAACAGTTCCTGAAAGCCATCACTTCGCAAGTCGAAAAGATAAGATAAGAAAAGCAAAGACAACTGCAGAAAAGTTACTCGCTGGATTTAATGTGGTAATGACACTGATGAAACTCGCCAAATCTAAGGATTAAGAAGTTGGTGATACGTCCGCAGGATTCATGAGGATCTAGATTACCTGATTTACTGCATTTAATGCATGAACTTTAAAGATCTACTGCTCACAAGCCCTACTCCATCTTCTACCAGGCATCAATAGCAGACTTCGGTCTTCACTTTTTTCGCCCTCATGGCGGCGGTGCTCATGCACCCACTTAATTATAAAAAGCATTGTGAGAGCCCACTGGGCAACTTAATTTATTAGGCAATATCCCTTTGAGGTAGACATTATTTCCCTAAATTGATGATTCTGATTCTGAGTTGGCAATATAACCTGAAAAATTTTAGATCGCTGTCAGCTAACTGCTGATAACTATGCAAAAGCCACTGATTGTCTAAAAACAAGGTTTGGCCACGAAGAGCTATTTGTTGAGTTTTATGTCAGGGAACTGCTATCATTGATAGTAAAAAAAAAAAAAACTATGAACGTGAAGTTCATGTAGCTGTATGATAGATTGGAGTCACATTTAAGATCTTTAGTGTCAATTGGCATAACTACTGGTAAGTATGCTGTTGACTATGCTGGAAGTCTTTATACCAGAAACGCTTTCCACTTATCATCTGGTCTTGTTGCAGTATAGACAATTGTTATGGACAAGATGAATAACCGAATTTCATCTGCAACCTGTATGCTAATCCACAGCAATAATTAAGAGTCTTTATAGAAATTAAATGATTTAGAAATAACTGATTCCAGTGAAAATGAGTCTAGTGTAGAGTGGGAAATGGCTGTATTAGATCTTTATCATAGGACTTTGAGAAAAAATGATGATGGTAGATATGAAGTCAGTTTGCCATGGGTCAATGATCTGGATAATTTACCAGCCAGTGGAGATACTGCTGGAAAAAAAAAATTGTTCTCAACCACACACACACAAAACAAAACAACAACAACAACAAAAAAAAAAAAAAAAAAAAAACTGTTTCAGATTTTAAATTACGTCCAAAGGGACTTTTTTTTAAACATTTTGTCTGTTACTTTTATTTATTAAATATCACATTTTTCACACTTAAACCATAAAATTCAGTTCATTAGAGCAATATCGCAAAGTAGGTTTAAATTGAGCATATCTTTAAAATTTCTACAGATTTGCATGCGAGATAAAAATGTTCTCATGCATTGCTGGAAAAATGTTTTTTCTTTACCAACATTGCCATTGCTCGCTTTTAAATCCTTGAGTTTGTTAATCAAAAATTCGTAAAGTTTTACAAAATATGAAAACGATAATAAAACAAATTCCAAATTTCAAATATGGTCTTCCACATGCCCATATTCGTAGGAGGATTATGTCATTCAAAATTCGATGGCTCTTTGTACCATTGTTTTATCACAATGCTAGAAATATACATACATTTATGCAGATTTTTCATTATTTAATTTCTTCAAATATAATGCAAGACTCTAACATTTGATGGCAACAGTTTGAAAAGTGATTCAAAGTTATACTTGCAAAAGAACTGGAATAATCATAAAAAAATAGCATGCTAAACTCCTCAACGGTACTTAAAGGGAAAGTTTTAAAGTGAGTGAATGATGTATCTGTATTTGCCCTTGGTAAAGATTCCTAGACGGGTAACATTAGATGATGCTCTGTCATACAGCTTACACATTTTCACTAATGCCTCGAGTTCATATGCAGCCGTAGTTTATTTGAAAAGTGAAAATATGGAGCAATTAAAAGTGCAGCTTCTTCAAGCCAAGTTCAGAGTAACTCTGTTGAAGAAATGCACAATCCCCAGACTTGAGTTATTATCCTTTTTTTTCATTGGAACTAGATTAACTTTTTTAGTGAAACAAAATCTTGGGATTGAGATTATGAAAGAATACTGTTGGACTGATTCTACAACAGACCTCTATTAGATTAAGAATAATGAGACTTAAGGAACATTCATGAATAACAGGATTAAAGAAATATGAAAACTGACAAAAACTGAAAGCTGGCACCATGTTCCAGGAGCCGTAAATGCAGCAGATTATGTACCTCTTTTCCTTAAATCTGAATGGTGCACTTTTTTATTTGAAAACATATAGATTCCCCATGCACCGCATATTTACAACACGGCACTTACAGAAGTAAGTTAACTAAAACATTAAAAGTTACATGCATAAATAAATAAAATGAACAAAAGCAGAGAACAGCAGTCTGCACTTCATGAAAACAGATAAGTTCACTGGCCAAGTCACTCCGAATACTTTCAAATCGTTCTGCAAGCATAATGGGCCATCAAATATAGGGCACGAGAAAATCAAATGTTCCACATCCTGAGGTACTCTATTTGAGCATTCACATAATTGTTTGTTCTTAGATTAAAAAACAGATAACTTGCAAATTTACTGTGACCAGATAAAAACTGAGAAACTTTAAAATTTACAGAGAGGAAAGACTCAGAATGCAGTCTATGATAAATAAGAAGGAAAGAATGTTTTGGTGACCTCAGCATTACAAGATGAAATATATTCCTCATTCCACTTAGCTAAAAGCTTCTTATGATGAAAGGACTTCCAATAGCTTTTTGGAATGTTGATATCAATGGTTAAATGTAAGGCATCTTTAGCTAAAAAATCAGCTCTTTCATTTCCATAGAAATGTGATGAGCACACACAAAGCAAAGCAGATATCAATTCTTCTATTTTTAATTTAAGCAAACTGACAGTTAATAGAGATATGATAACTAATTTGTCAAAGCTGGTAATACTGTTCAAAAGTTGAAGAGAAGAAAGAGAATCAGAACAAAAAGAGAACCTTGAAGATGTTGTCTCAATATCCTTGATCCATTTGACAGCAAGATAAATACACAAGTTCTGCTTGAAAAACTAGAGTCCTATATTTCACAATGCACATAAAAATTACAATTCACTATGAAAATTAATCTTAAATTTTGATATACATTTTTTACTTTAACACTTAGTTACTACAGCATTTCATTTGTATAAAGGTTAATTTCTGTGTAATAATATATTTTTTAATCTTTCTTATCTGTATCTGCATTAAGTTTTTAAGATTTGTTGTACAGTCAAAAGTCGTTAATTCGGACACCCATAATCTGGAATGATCTATAATCTGGACCTCAAAGCTACAAACTTTCTGCGCATGCATCAAGTTGACGCATGCGCACAAGACCTTTACGGCTGCAAATATGTGTGCAAAATAACGCAAATACGTTTAGGCATGCGCGTTTAATGTATAACAGATGGTATAAGCTAAGCTAAAATTATCTAATTCAGTTAATGTTGCAGATTGCATTGTTCCTTAATCCTCGAATTGGATCCGGCTTATTATTTTTTGCAGACTGTTAGAGCAATTTTATAAAAGTAGGCTTGAACTTTCGATTATGTCAAAAACAATTTCCGATTCTGGACCTGCCAAAGGATCTACAAAGCAAAAGCATGTTATGATGTCCATCAAACAAAAAGTGGAATTGCTGCAAAAAATGGATAAAGGCATATCCTTTGTTTATCTAACAATTCCGAAATCTGTTTATCAATTTCACGCTGCTGTGCGGCGGGGGGAAGGGGGGACGCCGCGGCACGCAATGAATTGGAAGTTGATCTGTCAGCACTATCCTTATCTTCAGGGCAGATGTTTTTATTTTATTTGGCTTATAATTCCTTACTAAATGTAGTATTTCATCTCGATGTACTCCGTCTTTGATATGATTTAAATCAAATTCCTCATCATTATAATTCGCTTTCGATAGCGAAGAAAGTGACACAGAGTTTATTGAAAACGAAAAAATTTCAATTGACAAATTAGTCAGTATTCTCGACACAGCAATTATAGGATCTTGAACACGGAACTTTGTAACTGAACAAGAAATTATGTCTGTTTATAGAATTAAAGAGAAAGTATTATCACATAAAAAACAAAGCAACTTAAACAACGTACATTGAAAGAAATGTTTAATAAAGTAAACAAATAAATATTAAGCTTTTTTTTGTAAATTTTGATGCCCTTTAGATCATAATTATTCTTTATTTCATAAATTACGGTTTCATATTTTTAATTTTATAATTTCTGCATGCCATCCTACCAGATTTAAACTGATGATCTATAATCCGGAATCGCCGAAGTCCTGACGAGTCCAGATTAAGGACTTTTGACTGTATATTCATATTTTAATAGCTACCAACTCTCCCAATTTTTTTGAAAGATTTCCAGTTTTTTATCACATCTCGTGGTCTGTTAGTAGATCACTGAATTTCTGATGTTTAATTTTTAACTTTCAGTAAGGGAAATGTTTTCCAGCAATAAATGAAATTTAAATTGTACAAATTTTATTCCTGCACCCCTAGTAATTTTGAGAATAATTTTTCTTATTAAATTTTATTTCATTTGAACTACATCAACATTTCATCTGAATATTATTACATTTTATCAACCTTTTTTCTTATTTCATTTAATCTGAGTTGTCTTAATTTACTGTAGACATTTGTAGATTTTTATAAAAAGATTCAACCAATGTTACAATGTTAATATATATTTATTTTACTTCATTATATGGTACATTAATTTTATCCAGATAAATTCCTATGTACAGTAATTATTAATTAAATTTTCATTGCATTTAAAAGTTCTTCAATAAATAAAAGCTTTTCTTCCCAGTTCAGGATTTTCTCAAAATAAATGTGGAAGAAAATTGCAAAATACAATTAGCCAGAGAGCATAAAATTTAGTATATCTATTTAATACTAATATATTTCACATTAGAAATGTAAATCATAATGTGTGTTATCATCACCCACAGAAGAATGATTTTAGTAAATTATAGAACATCTAATTGTTGTTTAATTGTTTATAGAACATGTTTAGTAAATTATAGAACAAACCACCTTCTGCAATAATATTCACCAAGATTATGAAGAAGACCAGAAGGGGAAAAAAGGACCTTGAAGTGCCGATTCTAAAGTAACTGATAATAATTAGAGAAGGAAATTGGGTACTTTTCCGTTTTGACGGCGCAAATCTTGCCAAGCAGACTTTGTTGGCGACAACATACAGTATACACATAAAAAAATGTTAACAAATGTTAGTTCTTAAGAATTTTTTATTTTGAAGCCATAAACATTTTAATATCGTTTAAAATTTTGTATAAAGCCAATAAATAAAGATGATTAATTTGAGAATTTACTATGATTTTATGGTTCAACATTCTGATTTGCCAGTTCGTATCACGTGACCCCAAGTGATCTCATATCGCATAAACTATGCTACAAAAATCTAATTCTCTCAGTAATTATCTACATTAATTTCAAGTTAAATCTTAATTTTGAATACAAAATTTAAATGAAAGAATTATTTTAATTTTTAAGAATAGCTTACTCAAAATTATGTAAAACCACAGTGCTTTACTTCGCTAGTGCATTCTCATTAGTACTGATGAATTTAAAACCTTGACTTTGCCTTTTCTATATTTTCGCCTTTGAGTGAGCAGTGTGTTTGCATCCTAATTGACTTAATTACCGTGAATGGCCTTAAGGCATAAAATTGAACTATCTGGTAAAAATTCTACGTAATTGTATGCCAGTATTGAAAGAAACAAACAATCTGATAAGAAATAGCCGTGACTTGTATTGAAAATGAGGCGTAAAAGGTTATCAGCTAGGATATTCCCTTTGGCATCAGTTGGACCTTAAATGGTGACTTTATCGCCTGCGCCGGCAAAACGGATAAGTACAGGAAACTGCTATGGAAATCTGATGATATGTCTTGTAATTAAATGAATATTTTAGTGCAGGCAAGTTTTCTGTATTAAAAATTGTTTCATTTAGTATTTTTACACCTTGTTTCTCTGTTTTATAAAATATTTGTTTAATATTATAGAGATGGTAAAGCTTGAGCCAAAACCTGCTGTATCAGTACTGGGGCCTGACTCTGTCAGAATTGTGTTTCTTCTAACAGTTAATGGCCGTGCCGTCCGTCAAGTATATCGCCTTATCAAGTCACTTTTCAGTGAAAAACATTATTTCTACATTCATGTTGACTCAGTAGGTAATTTTGTTAATTGCTTATTCAAAGTGTTTTTGCAACTTCTTGTTTTTATTGCATTTGTTATTCATTCATTTATTTCACTTATTATTATTTAGATTCACTCAATCAAATATCACTTTTTTATAGTTGCAATCACCATAGATAATAAATATTACAGATTTCATGTAAACTGTAAGGGCACTGCCCTTACAGTTTACTTAGTCCATATGATGTGCCATGTTTTTTTCATCACAGTGATTTACACTGAACTTCTAACTATAAATATAAGACTGAGTATAACTATACTATAAGTCCTAAATCCGAATGTTCGATATCTGGAATAATCTAAAATCCAGATGGCCAGATCACTAGAAGCATTTTTTTTTTTTCGTATGCTTTATGCTTGAGCATTTGATAGTTTTTCATGATACAACATGTGGAAAATACTGGTTCTTAATTTCACTTTGGTGCTAAATAAAATAGCTATTAATTGAATAAACTGTCATTTACGAGGGCCATCCAGGAAGTAGATTACGTTTCCGTCTGTGTCCGCTAGGGGCGGGGCTAGCGCGGCCATCTTGGGGTCAGAGCGTTGCGCAGCTCAGTCTGCATCTAGCCGTGCTAGTGAGAGGTTCGTGCTGTGCTCCGTTCAGATACTGTGACGGTTTGAAATGTCTGCGTTAATTGAAAATCCCGCGAGCTGCGAGGTGCGCTCAGTAATAAGGTTTCTGACTGCAAAAAACTGTAAACCGATAGAAATCTATCGGCAGCTTCGTGAAGTGTATGGGGACAACATTATCACTGAAGGTGGAGTGCGTCAGTGGGTCATAAGATTTCAAAATGGCCGAACCAATGTTCACGACGAAGATCGAAGTGTGGAGACCCAGCATAGTGACCGCCGAACTTCTCGAAAAAGTCGATGCTAAAGTCCGTGAAAATCGAAATTTCACAATAACGGAACTTTCTTTGAGTTTTCCACAAAATTTCGCGAAGTTTGTTGCACGAAATCATCAGCGAAAAGCTTGGTTACCACAAGTTTTGTGCAAGATGGATTCCAAAAAAATCTTGACAGAGGACCACAAAAATCAGCGAATGGCTGCAGCGTTGAACTTTTTGGACGCTTACCATAAGGATGGTGACTCTTTACTCGATCGCATCGTTACTGGTGACGAAACATGGGTGAAACATGTGAACTGTGAAACGAAATTGCAATCAATGCAGTGGGGGCACACAAGTTCTCCCCAAAAACCCAAGAAATGCATGCAAACAATGTCGGCAAGGAAGATGATGGCGACTGTTTTTTGGGACAGAAAAGGTGTAATTTTGGTGGACTTCCTGGAAAGAGGCACTACAATAAACTCTCAAAGGTATTGCCAAACTCTCCAAAAACTCAGAAGAGCAATTCAAAACAAGCGCAGAGGAATGTTGAGCTCTAAGATCTTGTTGATTCACGACAACGCCCGGCCCCACACGGCAAATGTCACTCGTAAAGTTCTTGAATCTTTTAAGTGGGAGTTGTTTCCTCATCCGCCGTACAGTCCCGACCTGGCACCGAGCGACTTCCACCTATTCCCAGCAATGAAGAAGTGGCTGGCTATGCAGTGGTTTTGATGACGACGCACAGCTGCAAGAAGAGGTAACGAAGTGGTTGAAGGCGCAGGCGGCCGAATTTTTCGACGAAGGAATTTCCAAGCTCGTACATCGCTACGATAAATGCCTTAATTTGTATGGTGACTATGTAGAAAAGTAGTATTTGAGTGTGGCTTTCATCTGTATATAATAAAATTTGTTTCCTATACTTTGTTTATTTTTTTATTCCAAAACGTAATCTACTTTCTGGATAGCCCTCGTATTAGTAGGAATTGGTATGATCAATAATTTGGTTCCATAGTCAATTTTTTGCTTATACTTCTCAAACTGAAACATTCTAGGCTTAATGCTAATTTTACACTAACTGAATCATTTATATAAACTGATGCCAACCTAACGAATCATTATGTAATTTAAATTTTTATTTTTGCTTTTGCTTTCTTCACCACGTGACTGTCAACACAGAGGAGCTTGAGAAATGACTCATGTAGCAATGTCTAAAGAATTTAAAAAAAAAAAAAAAAAAAAAAAGATTAATAATTGAATACCAGAGAGCATGGTAATCTTTTATGTTGACATTAGGTGTGGGGATGATTACAGAATTCAATTAACTCCACTGTGGAGTGTTGTGTTGGCGAGGAGAAATTTCGCAGAAATTTTTCTATATGCAAAAAATAGATTTTGTAAATGATACTAATGGTCCAAAAGTTTACATATACTAAACTAAAAACTCAGTTGTGCAACAGCCCTTTCTTGACCATGGACACCAGGTTGCTTGAGCATATACCCTGTACAACTAGTCAGTTTATCTCACGACTGCCATTATTTAGTTTCCAAGTGAAGTTGATACTCATATCGACCCACTCAATAGATGAAAGGTTGATTCAGACTTGCACAGTCCAGGGATCGAACCATAGGTGCTCCAGCATGACATGTTAGTCACTGCGCCTCAAAAGATTACATTTAGTGCTGTTTAAATTGAGAATATCTGATTTGTTATTCAGATAAGACTAGGACTGGGACCAAAATTATTGCTTCCATATCCCAGGCAGCAGAATTTAGGGGAGGAAAAAATTTTTAGAATTCAGAGAAGAACTACCCAATAAAATTAAGAGGTAACAAAATCCTTAGAATTCAGTGAAAGCACTGGCATACATAATGCAGGGGTGGAAAAATTTTTATAATACTGATAGGTGCTTGGTAGCAGAATTTCTAAGCCGCAGAGGCTGCATCAGGCCGCTTAATGTCTAGCACCACCCCTGGATAAAGCTTAGGTATATAAAGGAATTAATTTATTTGACACTTTAAGCATGTACGGAAACAGTCTTAGGTATAAGAAATAATTAAACTAATATAATTTAGGCTTCTAAATCTAGGAAATAATATCACTAGTAAAGAAAGTGACATAGAAGTTTTTGAGAATGAAAAACTTTCAAAGTTGGAACTACTTGAGAAGGCAATTACAGGACATTAACAAAAAATGAATCTGTCTGTAGAATTAAAGAGGCAGTATTAGTAAAAAATCAACTTAAACAACTTACATTGAAAGAAATGTTTAATAAAGCAAATAAATAAATATTGAGCTCTTTTATATATACAGTACAAACTCAGAGATCCGGACCTCCAATATCCGGTATGATCTAGAATTAGGACCACAAAGCCACCAACATCCTTTTTTTTAAAGAACCCCCCTTTTTTTTGTATGCTTTACGCATGCACATTTGATTCCCCTCCTCAATAATAAAACACGTGGAGAGTTCCAATTCTTAATTTCAGTTCACTAAATAAAATACCTCATTATTCAGAAAACAACCATTTTAGCATAAATTTGTGTGATCAATAATTTGGCTCTATAGCTGCATATCTGCTTAGCATGCATCTCAAACATTCTATATATAGAAATCGTTGATTTTACACTACTAATATTTTATATCCCTGACGCCAACCTGGCAAATCATTATTATATTTTGCTTTCATCCCCACATGTTTATCAACACATAACTTGAGTAATGACTCATGCAGCAATGTATAAATATTATATATATATATCAGTAATTGAAAACAAAAAGTATGGTAACCTTTTTTGTTGATATTGCGCTTGTCAGTGATTACAGATTTAAGTTAAATGTGCTAAGAAATTTTGACGATTAAAAATTTAACAAAAATTTCTTTCTATATGTTAAAAATAGATTTTGTTAATTATACTCGTAGAACAAAAGATTACATTTAGTCAGGGTTCGTAGTCCTTACGAGTGCTTATAAGTCTTTATATTTGAAAATAAAATATAAAGGTCCTTATAGGTGCTTACTTTTTCTTTAAAGCCCTTATTTTTTTGTTTTTAGTGCTTATTTTTTGCTTTTAGTGCTTTTTTAATCCTTTTTTTTTAATGAACGAGCATTTTTTGCCTGTACCAAAGCCGGAACTAAATAAACAACTTTTCTTCCTTATATGCAACGTCAGATGGTGAATCATACTCCCGGAAATTGCTTTTCCCCCCTTTCTCTGCATTACCGTAACCTATGGTGCGCGCAAGAATTCCTCCCACCCAAATACTACACACATTTGAATTTCTATCAAGATTTTAATAATTTGCATTCTCGGTCCGCGTGGTCAGTTCATATCTGTGTTTATTATGATCATTATGCTTATATTATAAGTATATGCATGAATATTTATAATAATATAGTTGCAGTAACTGCTGAAGTATAGATAAGTTTCCAAAAATGGGTGTGTTTTTGCACAGATTAGCTTTCTAGGGAATTTTTTTTTTTTTTTTTTTTTTTTTTTTTTTTTTTTTTTTTTTTTTTTTTTTTGTCATTGTCCAATCTAGATTGATTAGGACTAAAAGTTTTTCTGAGATTTGTTTATAAACACTTAAAAGAGTTTTACTGTGCTTTCTAAGCAGATTATTTCTCAGTTCCGTTGGTCTATTTTTATATGATGCACATATCGACATGTCAAAATCATCTATTTAGCCGAGAAACGTAAAGAACGGCTATAAATCTCCCCAACCTCCTCTTTTTCCAGTTTACTATCCGGAATTTTCAGATATTCGGCAATTTCCGAGTATGCCGGTTAGTTAAGCTTTTACTGTTAAAGGATGACTGCATGATTCAATTTCCCGTCTTCAGATTTCAGAAATGTGCCTCTTTTTACTTATTTTTACTTAAATTACTTTGCTTGGAATAAATGTTAAGGGAAAACTGTTATGTAATGAAATATTTAGAAAATGTTCAGAATTTTGATTTAAGTTAAATTCTTTAAATATTAATATGAGTGGAAAAATAAATTGTATTTATTATTTAGATGCCAAACAAATACAATTAATATCGTAAATATGGCTTGTTATTTATTTATCTTTATATATTTGAACTGAAATTTCATCAATTAATATCTTGTAATATAGTTTAGGTCTGCATAGTTTTT